TTCATAAATCCAGGCAGAGTTTTCTGTAGCCTCAGATTTCCACTCATCCTGCTAGGTAAGTGCTGCTGTATCCACAGATGCAGCATCTGTTGACCTGCAGAGTCCTAGGCAAGATAAGGAAGGAGAACAGCAGGCTTGTGGTCAGGTTTTAAAGACTGAGATTTTTTTTGGCTCCAGCTGTTATTTCTGTGACTCATAAAATTAGTATTATTTTTCGTAAAAAATGCCGAATTACATTATGTGAATTCCTCTGAATTAAATAGTTTTGCTGTAGTTGCCATATTATTTCTCAAGAAACATACTATCCTTTTAGTCTGATAATTTTATATTCATATTTAAACCGTCTATAAAATAAATAAAAATTTATTATGGGTTTTCAGTAAATAAATTTTCTTTCTCTGATATTATCCTCTATATAAGTCACTTAAAAGGTTACTATAAGTGGCCTCTGTAGTTTTGGATATTTAAATTTTACACAAATTATGTATTATATAATTATATGCCTGTATAAAGCATCAGCTCTCAAAAAGAATTTAACCATATTCCTATAAAATATGCATGGGCAATTTTTTCCAAAAAAGCCTGTTTCACCAATGTTGATTTCACAAAATGCACATTAATGGTGTCAGTCATCAACCTGGTGGAAAGTAAAATTACAGAGTGTGTTGTTTGTTTCAAGCAGATATTTGGGAATATAATCCACCAACATGATTGAGATGAAAAATTATGTCTGTTACTATTTTCTCTATTTTTCTTCATTTAAAAAATATTTTATCTGCCTTTATTCTTAGTATATGGCCCGAACCCCTGTCAATAAGGGAAATGGTTATGGTTGTTCATTGTTTTTATTAACAGATAAATTTGAGCTGTTATCATTCTCTGGATATGTCTATAATTCAAAACTATGAAAATGAATAAAACTCAAATCCATTTTGCAGGAACACAAGATTTTCTTGCAGTATGGGGTTGATTGGAATTTTTTACATAAGACCATGTGTTTTGTGAGAGATGACATTTTTATTTTTGTAACAAAGTGCTTCAGTATGTGTTCTGTTGTTTTGGAATAGTTATTAACTTCTATTGATTTTTCTGAAAGCGAATGCAGACATATTCATGTTGTAAATATGTATGCATAAATGACAAAACAGAGCTCTACATTAGTATCCTTTAAGTTGACAAAATAAATGCTCTTTACTGAATATTTTAAAAGTACACAGCTGCAATTCATATACTTAGACATTCTTCTACACACTTGCTTCTTCAGGAGCTTTATGCATTTCACAAATGCTCTGCTCCTAGCATGAGTCATCTTGGTGGCTTTTTGGCTCTAGCTGTTATTTCTGTGACTCATAAAATTAGTATTATTTTTCATAAAAAATGCCAAATTACATGCTGGAATGTGTGAATTCCTCTGAATTAAATAGCTTTGCTGTAGTTGCCATATTATTTCTCAAGAAATATACTATCCTTTACCTTCACTGGTATTGTGCTGGTTCTCTCTCTTTGTGGAATTCTGACCAGGGTTATATTATGAAGTTCAGCATTTCCATAATCCTAAACCATGCCTGTATTCATGGTCAGTCTCAACTCACAGCACCCCTTTAACCTTATAGATAAATACAATATTGATGCCCACTATGGCAAAAATTTTTGTAAATTGGAGGAATCACAGCCTAGATACGTTTTATGGATTTAAGGCAAGACAATATTCTGGACATAAAGCCTATTATTACATAATGTCGTCTTCTACATGATTATTTTCACATTTCCTATGAAAAAAGAATGTGTAGTAAATGTTTTCACCATGTAATGCATTCTAATCAAAGCCAGAAATGTTGGTATTTGGTGGCCATTCAAGACAGACTCCTCTGCCTCCCTCTGTACTTTCCTGACAATGGCATGGGTGCATTGAGCTCAACATTGCTCAATAGTTTCTGAAATATTTCATTGTACAATGTGTTACAAGATTGTTCCAGGTCTCAGTAACTGAAAGTGAACAGAATACCTTACATGAATTCTTCCTTGATCAAAGCATTATCTAGTTCCTGAACTGTGTTGCATTTCTCAGCCTGTAGAAATAGAAACTTTACTAAGTTATGAAAGCTCCCAATGGTGACTCCTCAAAATGAACAGAGAAATTTCTATTTGAAATTTTTCACTTCATTTCTGTTTTGCTTTCAGTGAGATTCACACTTGGCTTTTCTTCTCTGTTTCCTAATGTGATTTCGTAATGTGATTTGTTTGAGAACTTGCTTTCAGGCTATTTTCACTGTGACTTATTTGTTTACTAACTTAGAGTATTTCTGAGGGCAACTGGTTTAGTCTAGTTTGAAAAATAAGACTTTTTTGTTTGATATTTTGGGTGAGGCAGGTTCTGTCTCAGCATTGTTACTCCTAAGATCTATATTTTGTGGAGTGGCTTCTAGACCATCTCATGGATAGACAAGTAATGCTGAACATGGCAGATGTGAGCTGGATGAGACAAGTCTGGGCAGGAACTTGCTACTAGACCATTAGTGGTAGACTGTTTTCTTGAGTTCACATTCTCCAGAGTGCATTTACTAAAAAATATTACTATAGAGGTTGCTACACAATTTTCTGCATAACATCTAGAGATAAACACAGGCAAAGATGGTTGGTGTTTATTTCCTTAATACAGTTGTGCAGGATCTGCACATTTAGAAATGGCTGGCCTTATTATGCATCATAATTTTGATGCATCAAGGGTATTAAGAGTATGAGTGGTTGCTCACAAATGTAGCACTTTCCTGAATTAAAGCTCTCCTCTGCCATAAAGATTTTATGTCTCAGGTAAGGACCCAGAGGAACTCTGATAACCTGAATATTGTGTATACCGAGAATATCTCCATACACCTGCCATCTTAGACCTTCATGCCTGTAAGACTGTAGATATCTAAACAATGGCATGAAGTTCTGGCCCTCTGTTTATTGACAATTTGAACAAGCTACTTGGCTGATTTTACAAGTTTATTTACCAGACTAGATTTTTAAAAAGAAAATTAAAATAAAGCCTGAACTTCAAAATCATAACAACACAAAATAAGTTTATGATTTATATTTTATGTTTTCAAGTGGTTCTGTTAATGTAGTACTTTAGCTTTGGTATGTTCCAATGTAATATTTGTTCTTTAAAGTATTATCTGGATATATTTTGTAACATACATGAAATATATATCCAAGAAATAGCTGTCATTTATATGTACATGAAAGATCAGGAAGACAATTAGAACTGAATTTGATGGTACTACAAGGTCCACAATATTCAGAAATACCTGGTAGTTAGATGAGTATTTTTCAATGTTTCCCCTGAGCATAGGACAGGAACAAACTTAATTTGCTGACTTCTGCAAGGGAGAAAATTGTGTTTCTTTCATTTTGTAATATTTTGGAGACAGATTGACCTTTTGTAATGTTTCCTATGACATTTCTGTTTTAAAATCAAAATTTCCATAAGATTTATACCACATTCACTCTTTCCTCTGAGTATTTCAATGCAATCACGTATTCAGTATACCTAAATGTTTGAGATTTTCTTCATCACTTGTAAAGCCTGTGCTTCAAGTAGCTACAAATTGTACTCTTGTTTATGTACTCTTAACCTCTGATGTTAAAATAATTCTGTGAGAATATCTGTGTGTACTAATTTATCATGTTAGGAACTCATACTATAACTTATAAGGTTTGATTTAAAGTAAAGAGCTGCATCACATTGGAAGATAATCTAAAAATTGATTATCACCAAATTCGGTAATATAAAATTTATATTTGATACCCATAAGTCCACAGAAATATGCTCTCTTGCTTAAGAAAGCCATAAAAATTTGGAGTCTTGATAAACCACCTTTGGGGAGTAAATATTTATCAGTTTTGTATTTAGAAACAAAATAATTTCAGAATTTACTGAAAAAAATAGATGTATTTAAATTCTCATTCCATGTGCTTAAGATTGATTTAAAAGAAATTTGGAATTCATGTACCTAATCATAATTAATAACTGAATATGATTACTGAAATTAGTTTCATCTGCCATGTTTCTAAAATATGTGGTTTGTAGCTTTAACAGATTAACTCACTTGAATTGCTTGTATCTCAGAAGTGGATATTGTTATGGGTATACTAATTTGATGTTTAGTTCCCTTTTTTTTAGTCTAAGACTGATATATTGTAAACTAGATCATTTTTTTCAAGTTATATGTATGAGGAAATACATAATAATGGCAATGAAACTGACATTTCCATCCTAAATCAGATTCTCTTCATCATTCATAAACCTTATATCTTTAGAAAACTAGGAATATAGTAACTATCATTTATGAATCATATGTCTGTGGCTCAGATATATTAATCGACTTTTCAAATTCTGCTACTTAACAAATGGCTAATTATACATGCATATATATATATATATATATATATATATATATATATATATAATTCAAGCTATTTTGCTTTAAAACCTACATAGAAATATTTTCTGTTGATAAAACAAACTATGTCACAGACAACATAATATTTGGCTGTCTCCTGAATAATTACTATTTGAGATGATTTTCTTCCACATGTAGGCAGCTCTCATTTCCAACTTACACACAAAACTGTAGAAGCTATGTAACCAAAAATTTATCCACAATCTACAGATAAAAAGACAAGTCATTGTTCCCGATGTTGTAAACTAAGCAGTGAGAAAAAGCAAGGAAATATCTTCCTCAGAATGAGAGTTTTCTCACAGGTGCTGTGGTATACTACAATGAGATTCATAATGCAGCCAACCTTGAAAAATGACTTGACAGGTGAGAGAACAGTGGTGAATCCAGTGCTGTGAGGTAAATCCAGGTTGTGAAGTAGAAAGCACACATGAGGAGAAATTCACAAAGTTTTGTGAAATTATAGCGTTGGTTGACATGTTGATAATGGTGAAAAATATAATACTTGTTCTTATTTTTTTCTCAGACATTCCTTGTTTGTTTTACCCTATGAAGATGAATAAAAAGAGAAAAATTTCCAGGTACACTGACATAAGAAACACTGTGTTCTTTGAAATCACCATTGGAATCACTGCCAACACCATCCTGCTTCTGTTCCACATCCTCACATTTCTCCTAAAGCACAGGCCCAAGCCTCTTGACCTGCCTATTGGGCAGTTAACCTTAATTCACCTGGTGTTGCTTGTAGCCATGGGTTTCATAGCTAAGGACACATTTGAGTCTCAAGGTTGGAAGGATGGCCTCATGTGTAAAGTGGTTATCTATTTACAAAGGTTGATGAGAGCCCTCTCCATCTGTACCACCTGCCTGCTGAGCATCCTCCAGGCCATCATGCTTAGTCCCAGAAACTCTTGTTTGGAAAAATTCAAACATAAGTCCACACATTACTATCCATATTGTCTTGTGTTCCTGTGGATCTTCAATATGCTTCTGAATGGTCGTTTCTTAGTCTCTATTGGTGCCACCCCCAATGTGACCTCACACAGTCTCATATTTGTCACTGAATCCTGTTCTCAGTGGCCTATTAATCATTTGTTCAGATACATATTTTTTGCCTTGGTGAACATTCAGGATATCTCCTTTATTGGACTGATGGCTCTCTCAAGTGGATATATAGTGAGTCTCTTGTGCAGGCATAAGAGGCGGTTCCAACATCTTCACAGCACCAGCCATTCTCCACAGGTATCCCCAGAAGAAAGGGCCACCCGGACTATTCTTCTCCTTATGAGTATCTTCACATTAATGTACTTTTTGGACTGTGTTACTTTCTCCTTGCTTGCAATACTATGGAAAAATGACCCAGTTCATCATTTTGTTCAGATGCTTGTAGGCAATGCCTATGCCACAATCTGTCCATTTTTGCTAATGAGCACTGAAAAACGAATAATTCAATGCTTAACATCGAAGTGGAAAATATAGTAAATATTCAGCTATTTAGTGAAGGATAACTTCCTTTCACATAAGCAAAACTTTACATTTTTTTGAGTCACTGAAATATATGTCTTATAATTTTTCTATTAAATGTATTGCATTTGGTGTATGGTTTATATGTAGATAAGACAAAATTTTGTATTACAACTCATTAGAGACTCCTTTTCTAATCTTATTTACAAAAACTTGCACTTTTACCCACTGGCAAATATCAAAGAACAGGATATATGTCACTGAATTTATACCATATTCAAAAGAAGTAAGAAGAAGACGTTTCACAATCAATGATCATAATACATATCAAGGGACATTGTTATTCACCTATTTACATTCTTTCCATTTATAGTATCAATTTTGTATCATGATTTTTCAGAAAACTGATTAAAAATAAAAGTAAGAATAATAAGAACATAAATCTTTTGTAAATGTGTTAAATTTAGTAACAATATCATGTACATAATGCATAAAATATTTTCAAAGAATATGACTAATATTTTATGAAATAATTTATTAACATTGGTTATGTAAATACAAGTTTGGAAAATTGTCTACAAATTGACTTTAACAGGCAAACCATTTTCATGCCCTGTTTTGTCTGTAAAGCACTTTTTTCTCTCAATAAATTCTTGCTACTCTTAAACTCATGTGCTCCTAAAATTTATTCCTGGATTTTATAAAACACAAACTTGGCATTTTGAACATCATCAAGGTTGGAAATCTTTTTCCTCTGTATCATTTGTAAGTCTTCCAAAGAGATAGTCGGACAGAGGTAAGAATATTCTTTTGTTTCATAGATCCCAGATTGTGTCTTGCTTAAGTAATCAAAATTTTATGATATTATGTCTTTCTTCATTACTTATAATTGATCGTGCTTTGTACAAATTTAAGGTGTAAACATGGGATGTTTACAGCTATAATTCTTCTTTAAAGAAAAAAAGATTATTCTTGTTTTGTGTATATTGCATTTGGACTTGGTTGCTGGGCTTACTAGTATTCTTTGTTTTACCTATTCAACTTATTTGACTGCTGTCATTTATTATCTTACATAGCAGAGATAAGAACACATAACATTGGAGAAATCCATGTTACTCTTTCATATAAAAGCTATCAAATGGATCTTCTTATAAATAAAATCTAGTTCATACTCAATATACATGCCTACATAGAAACACATGGACTCCTTCCACCAGTTAGAGAGCACTAGGTGAGTGGCCATTGTCAAGACTTGCAGGATGGAGACACACTGGCTCTGATCCTTCTCTATTGGAGAAACTTCTCTAGGCTTGAAATGTCAAGCCTATTCTTCAATTTCCACTGGGTAGAGACAATCTTAACTCTTGAGATTAAACATTCATGCCTTTCTAGTTTGGAAATGTTGACTCAGGGGCAAATTATCTCTATACCTCAACCTGGAAAAAGAAAGGAGAATTGTTCTGTTCTTTGACCTTACTTTTAATCATTTCCTGCCATGTTGTACTTTCTTTCTTGTTTGGAGGCATGCAAGACTAGAGATAAAGAACTCTAAACTGTTTCAACCTTTTCCTCTTATCCATCAATTAAGTGATGAAAGCGTACATTTGCTAATGCCAAAGACAGGGAAGTCATCTTAGCTGAGGAACTCAAACCCTATCTGTGAGTCAACTGAGATATTGGAATTTTGCCCATCTGGGAAAACACATAAAAGGCATGTTCGAGCTTGGCATTCTAGGCAAATGTTCTTTAGAGAGTGAGCCTGAGACACAGTAATAAGAACTGACTTCTAGTTAAAACCAGAAGGAACTGTTTCCAAAGCACCACAGTTAAGGGACTAAAACACATTTAGTCTAAGGGAGTGTCTCTGATCCTTCTTCACGCTCTCCCAGGTCTAATTATAATTTATATGCATAAAAGAAAGTATTTTGATAATAAATTGTGGATTTTAAAACCTTTACTGTAAACTTATAAAGCACTAGATGATGATATTGTTCTGGATTTTACCTGTTCCTTATAGAACTTTGCAAAGCAGTATTACTCTGATATCTAGATTAGCACTCCTAAAGCAGCTGCCACCCTTAAAGCATATGACATGCTTTCCCAGCATATTTTTGGTGAATCTTCATTGAAGCCAATGGTCAATGGAATGTTGATCAAACAGATAGATGGATTAATTTCTGGAGACCGTCTTCTGGTCTCCTGAATCTATAGAAACTGAGAACAACTGAGATGTCATGTCCAGGGCTGCTCTCTAGCAAATACCCAAAGGATCCTCAGTGGAAATTCACTCTCAACCACAGGAAAAAAAATTTCTCCTTATCTATTCTATTTTTTCTCTTAATTATAGTGTCAGACACCACAATTATTCTCTTGTTGATATATAACTTTAAAACCTGCTTGTCCTTAGAACAACACTTTCTCCTGGAATCAGGGTGAAGGAACTTGCAATAAACTGTTTACATTTCATGGAGGAAAACAATTATCAGGCAATGATTTACGTTTGTGTTTCACATATGCTAAGAGATAAGGAAGAGATGTGAGTTAGCCTTTTCTCTCATGTGTGCATAGAATACTAAAAAATGTGCCTTTATGAACATGTGAAATGTGATTGCTACATGATAAATATAAGTTTAATCTGTCAACTTCAAAGATAGAAAAATGTAAATAAAGCATACCCTTGTCCTTCTGTTAGGAAAGGATGCTTGGGTGATTATATGGACAACACAAGTGCCTTGGAAACTTCTTTGTTCTAGGAACCAGGGCAGACTTACCCAGTTAATTGTTGCTTTTTTCTAGCTCTACTTGTAATCTGCTTCACAGCCTGAAAAATGCTGTATTTCCAACTCATTTTTTGGTATATTCTGATTTTTGAAGAACAAAAGCAATAGATACGCTTCCTTATTTAAAACACTACTATTATATTTAGGACCAATTTTAACTTGCTCTTAAAAGTTTGCTGTAAGAATAAATTCACTAGCTCCCTGAGAAGATGAAATTTTGCCCAGTGTGAGGTGGATAGTTTCTGTTCTCTCTCCAGATAGCATCTACTTTCCTTTACTAGAATCTACTTGAGGGATGCCACAATGGTATAGATAGAACAAATATGTATATTAAAGGGGAATTACAATTTCTTTTTGCGTTTCAGACATATAGGGGGCACAATGTCATAATCTATTGCTCCTTTGGAATGCATTATTATTCCGTGGAATGCATTGGAAGATGTTTGACCGTCACATGTTGTAAAAGAGTCACTTGGTATTTTTCTCCACATGCGCATGACTACCTACCCTTAAAACCAAAGTGAGGTGCAGAAGGAAGTATTCATTGCTATACTATTTTACAACTAGAATTATACTGTAAAAAAGAAAAAATTGCCATTTTTGGCTTATGTTCAAACTTTCTTTACATTAAGAATTAATTCTTATTTATACTCAAGTTTAATTGCAATCCATGTCAGACTACACATGTTAATATGTATCAATCAATGAAAACATACATACATAGCTTCTGATTCAATAGGATAGACAATACTTAAAGAAATATTTATTACTCAGCCAGTAGCAGATATTAAGAAAAACTTACAAAAGATAGTTTATGCTACAGATAGCTCACTTGATACTTTAGAACGTTCCTCCTTAGTACTCTTTAATCAAGATAGGGAAGAAAGCTTGGAAAAAGCAAAGAGACCAAAAAACAGCTACATTGTTGTGGTCTTAAAAGATAAAGACCTTGAGCCCTTCCTGTGAATCAGTGCATGTGTGGGGCACTGCAGGGAGAGTCAGATACCAACCTTTTCCTGTTCTTCATACCATTCATGAATTGTGTACCTGGGGAAAGAGAACAAGAAGTCAGCATAAGCAAACCCTCCCTGTGAAGTGGCACCATGCACAGGGTGCTGGGGAAGAGCCAGATGCCAGCCCATACTGGAATACAGGCTGGAAAACAAGAAGAGCCAACACTGCACTCCATAATTGACCAAATGATCTAGAGAAATGCAGGCTGTGATGACAGCTATTGAGTTGGAATCCAATTTAATGTGTGTAGTGATTAGTTTTACTCTTACTTTGGGGATATAAAGCCAGTAATCTGGTCATCCATTTAGAATATAACAATACACAGTGTAGTATCTACGGAGGATCTCATTCTAGGGTGGTGGCCATTTTTTATTCACTACCATCTTGTTTTGAAGTCCTTTATCATTTTCACTCTTTTGTTGGGCTGAGTTTTATTTCATTTTTATTTGATTTTATTATATCCAATGACATAGGAAGCTATTTCAAAGATAGCAAGAAATATAGTAGTAATTTTGAATTCACTCTTGTTTGGAAGACCTTTATTGCATTCATTCTTTTATGTTATAGGATTAATTATATTCTGTTTTGTTGGATTTCTACTATATGCATTAATGTAACAATGGTAGATTTTTGTATTTTTTTTTGAAGTCCCGTCACTTACATTGCCTTCTTTTGATTGGCTTATTCTGTTGTAATGTGTTTGTTTTTATTCTCTATAAATAAAAAATACAGACTCTAATTCTATTTTGGGGGGTTCAAGAAATAGCTTGATAACCACCAACCTCAGGTGTTACTGCAGCCTAATTCCAGGCCACCCAAAGAGGGAATTCCTTAAGATACTCCCAACCCCATGCTCTGACTGCAAAGGCAAAAACTGGAAGCAAAACAGCACTCTGAGAAAAGACTGTACTACGAGACATAAGCCTCCAAACTCAGACTCATCTTCCAGGTGGTCTAGCAAGACTAAAGGGCCCTGAGTTACTCTACTTTCTCCCTCTGGCTGGACTGTCATCTCCACCTGCATGTGCATGGAGGCGGCCTGAGTAATCACAACTAGAGGAAAATATGGACCTATTATTGGACACTGGGGTTTGTATCCTTGTCCTTTTCAATCCTGTCCTATTAGTCATAATATCTCAATAAAGAGAAATCACAAGATAAAAAGTAATTCCTTTAAGTTATAACTGACATAACTTGCTTTTCATCCATTTTTTAAATTTT